ATGGTGGTGGTGGTAGTGGTGGCAATAGTGGTTGTGGCTGTGGTGATGACAGTGGCTGCGGTGGTGGTGGTAGTGGTGGTGATGGTGATGGTGGCAATGGTTGTGATGATGATGGTGGTGGTTGCGGTGACGTTGTTATGGCATGGTGGTGGTCGTGACGATAGTGGCTACAACGATGGTAGTGGTGGTCGGTGACGATGGTGGTCGGTGACGATGGTGGTGGCAGCAGTGGTTGCAATGATGGTTGTGGTGACTAGTGGCGGTGGTGGTGACGATGATGGTGGTGGCGGCGGCGGTGACAGTGGCATGATGGCAGTGATGGGTGGAGGCAGTGGTGATGGCGGTAATGACGATGATGGTGGCGGTAGTCGTGTTGGGATAATGGTGGTGGTGGTGATGATGGTAGAGGTAGAGAGTGATTGAGAGAGACAAATGTTTCTTATTTTTGACCGGAAACAAAAAAAAAAAAATTGATTCTTTTTTCTGTTCCTCAGCATAAAAATTAACCGGTTCATCCCGGGTACAAAAAATAAATCCGTTTTACCAAACGAGTTTTTTATTCATTTCTATTTCCGGGAACTAAAATTAAAAAAAAATTGAGTCCGAGAAGGTTTTCATGCACATTATTAATCTGTTGTTAGTATAAAAATATTTTTATATATACCATATTATTTAATTTTGTATTCATATTTTATTTATCAAATTGACTTTGTTAATAATTATAGGATATGTCATATTTATAAGTAATACATTAATAATCATTAAATTTAAGTATATAATTATTTACACTAAACATCAAAATCAAATTCACAATATTATATCAAGAAAGGGTCAATGACCCTCACTTTGTGATTTCATGTTGATAACGAATGATTGCGGCTGAAAGCAATTTAAATGTTCATAATGTTAAGATTTGTAGCATAGGTTGATAGTAGTATACGTAAGGAAAGAGAACAAACGTGGAGAATAAGAAGAAGAAAAAAAAAATTATGTTTACAAAATTATAATCGAAAGATGTCATCTCTTTTGGACCGTTAATTTGGTCCAAAGCCAAGAGAGATCCATCCACTCGGCGGGACATACCTACTTGAAGACTTGATTAACGGGATAATGCCCCTCAATCCTGTGTGTGTGTACGTGTTGAAGGAGAAAAATTCCTAGACACTTACCTCTTAGGCATGATCAGAGTTGTTCTCCCAAATCTCTTGCTTTATTTTATCACCAAACACTTAGATCAACTAATGAGAAATTACTTTAGCTTAATTAGTAATTTTGAGTTCAAATTTTTGTGAATGCAATTGCATTAAAACTTGATAAGGAGAGCTTTGCCACCTATATAATCATATAGGACTTGAATCAAATTAGTTGAATATTCAATAAACCAATGTATAATATAAAAAAAAAATGTTTCTCCCAAATCCCAAAAGTTGCGATCTCAATTTAGATTAGTATCAACTAAACAGTAAAAAATTGTTGAAATATATTTGTTGTATATTATCGATTTTTTACATCAGTATATATCAATATATAGAATAGAATTATATTGACAATTTTTTTTTTACAAATTATACTATGTTTGACCGGTAATACTCTACTCAAGAGTGTATTACCGGTCAGACATAATGTATTTATAAGAATTTATAAATAAAATATTTGTACATATAACCTTCCTCCAATATATATAATGTAAGAGAATTATAGCATAGATGTATTAAATAAATTTTTTGTGACACTAAAAGGGGTGTATTGGATTAGAATTTAAAAAAAAAAAATTGAGATAAAAAATCTTACAGATTTTAAAAGACATTTTAGAATTGGAGAAACTTTGTAGACTTTTTTAAAAGACTTCTTTTACAATCATAGGATTGGATTTTAAAGAATTTTAACAGATTTCATAAGATTTGAAAGGACAATATGGATTTATAAGATTTTACAAAACCATATGAATTTTTAACAAACATTCAAAATTACAAGAGTCAATACAAAAGGGAAAGGTTATACTTACAACCTATTTTTGTTTACAACATTTTACAATCATATCTTAACCATTGATTTCCGTCAATCAACGGTTATCATTCATTGCAAATTAAATATTAATTAATGAGTTTGATTTGCGAAAATAATAACCATTGATTGACGAAAATCAACGGTTAAGATATGGTTGTAAAAGGTTGTAGACAAAAATAGGTTGTAAGTATAATCTTCCCCATAAAAAAAATAACAAAGAAATACAATGAAATTAATAAAAAAAAGTAAAACCAAATATAATTTTTAACAAATATTCAAAATTACTAAATAACAACTTTTCACATATCTAATGGGTTGAAAATCATCTTCTTCATTTGGTATCAAAGTTATGCATATATGAGTATAAGACCCAATTTTTTAATTATAAAAATAATTTTAAATTTGCATATAGAACCTAAAGTTCATGATAAAATTTCGTTTGCAAATTTTTGCAATTGATCTTAAAAACCTTGGGGTTTTTGGAATTTTCTAACCATATATCATATACATATTTTCATTGAATATTAAGAAAATTTTGGGTTTAATTACATGAAAGTTTATAAAATTTCTCAAAAAAATTTCAATCGATACATTGAAACCTTAAATTGCTTTGGGGCTTTTGAGAAACAAGCTTTTAGTTATCTATTGACTCAAAAATTATTTGAAATCGTTTCCTACAGTGAAGGAATTTCGTTCATGAATGTATTGTTACGAAATATAGGGTTCATATTATGAAAGTTTTCATCTTTCTTTAAATTGATATTATTTCATTGATATAAAACGAAAATAATACGAAAGTTCTCCTGTTATTTTTTCATTGTTTTATGTTGTTTTTAATACAAAAATCACACATTTTTGTGCCAAGAAAAACCGCGACCCATAACTTGAAAAATCACTTTTTAAACTTCCAAAATTTCTAAAAAATGGCTCAAAAATATGTTATTTTTGAGATAGATTATATTAAAATCTTATTGATTTGTTGTTTTTGAGTTATTTTGTGACGAAAGTCGCTCAAAAATATGTTTTTTTTTTAGTTTTGACGAAGCTCTCATGGCAGAACTCAATTTCGAGCAGTCAACCTATCAAAGAAAGAAGAAAACACTGCAATAGAAGAATCTCACGAAATCCTAGGAGTTTGGGTGAGATTGTAAGAGAGGCATCGTATTTATATTTTTCACTAAAAAGTCTCACGAAAATCACACCAATAGAAAATCCATTAAATTCGTCGAATTTTTGAATACTACGATTGTTTAAAATCATGATTGAATACCAACAGATTTGGACGGATTCGAAAATAATCTTTTAAAATTCTAATCGAATACTACATGACTTTTTTTCAATCCATTAAAATCCCAATCGAATACCAACGAATTTTTTTGTCTAAAAACAATCCATTAAAATTCTTTGAAATCTCAATCCAATATATTCCCCAAGTAGAATCACATAATAAAAAGTCTCCGTGAACAAGATAATATGTATACGGGTAACATTAATCCTTCGTGCTATCTTAAAAATGAAAAAAGAAGAAGATATTAACAACTTAATTTTAGCTGAAAATCAAAGAAAAATGTTTAAAAACAGATTGGGTGTAAACAGTAAACACACCAAAGCGAGTAGGGTGCGTGCGGCCACCCCTACCACTTGACCCCAACTGTGGGATCTTACTTATTCCCAGATTTCGTCCACAGTCGTGGCGAGAAATTTTTGAAATGTTGCGGACTACCAAAATTTTTGGTGCTCTTTTTTTTTTGGTAAAAAATATTATTTTTAAATTCTATTCTTTTTTTATATTTTTCACTCAATTTTCTTTTATTTTTCTTTTTGTGCTCTCGGATCACGAAAGAAACGCGGCGGTAGGAGTGGCAAAACGGGTGAATCGGGTGACCCACCTTGACCCGCCAAAAGTGGGTTGGCCCGCTCGACCCCACCTCTTGAATGTTAGTTAAAAACCTCAAACAGCCCCGTTTTATGGCGAGTTAGAGGGTTGGCGGATCAATCTGTCTAAAAAATAAAAAATAGTTAAAAGTAAAAATAAATTATATTTTATTAATATTATAATATTATTTATTTTATATCACTTATTTTTTAATTTTTTTCAATCTTAAGTTTAAATATATGCTAATATTCATTTAGACATTCTTTACAAACTTATTTTTTTATCCATATATAGACTATTTTTATTATAAAAATTTTTTTTTTTATCTTTTTTAGAGATTTTTGAGATAACAAAAAATTAGATATCACCGAAATTTAAAAATAAATAAAATACTATATAATAGTAATAAAAAAAATTGACGCGACAAACCAACCTGACGCCAACCAATGCTATCCAACATAGCGGGTCGAATTTAACCTATATTGCCCACTTATACTTGGCGGCGCAGCTCTTGAAGTTTGTTTTAAAAACCGCAAATTTTCAATAATAGCTGGCCCCACAACTTAAATTGCCTAATTAATTTATAATAATAGTCTGCTTATCAATTGGCATTAATGCATTATACATTATTTTCCGTTATTAGCAATAATGAATAGTGAGAGTAAGTAAGATTTTAATTTTTGTTCCGTTATACGGTCTATGGTACATTGGAAATGGATTTTCTAATATGAAAATTCACATAATTATATAATGTGGGGAATCATAATCATACAAAGGTAAATCAACGGTTATGATTTCATAACTACTTATTTTATCATTTTTCTCTCTCCTTCTTTTTTACTATTGATTCACCTTTGTATGGTTATGATTCCCCACGTTAGATGGTAATTTTCACAATGGCACACAGTACAGTGTGTTGTATAGTATGAGCACATAACGGTTATACTTTTCGTTCTCTTGATTTTCCTGTATCACCCACTTCTCCCCTCCCCTATATATTCCCCAACAAACCTCCATGAATATTTGCCTCTCTCTCACGGAACCACAATCAATCTATTACAACAAAACCAAACCCAACCCAACCCAACCCAACCCTTTCTCTCATTCCCCACGATCGATGACGATGACCGACATTGATCATAAACTCTGGATCGTTGCTTTGGCCTCTAAATGCACACAAGAAAACCTTGCATGGTCTCTTATGATCATGGCCTTACTCTGGTTAACCATGACTTTCTTTTACTGGTCTCACCCAGGTGGTCCTGCCTGGGGCAAGTACTACAGCTATTACTACTATTCCACCTTGAGAAAATTCCCATCACTTCCTTCACTAGCTACTGCTGCTAGTACTAGTACTAGTAGTAGTACCTCTGGCTCTGTCTTAGAGCAAAACAACGCAAACACTATGATTCCTGGTCCCAAAGGGTGGCCTTTGATTGGAAGCATGACTCTCATGACTTGTCTTGCCCACCACCGTATTGGGACAGCCGCAATCGCATGCAGAGGAAAGAGGCTCATGGCCTTTAGCCTCGGCGAAACCCGTGCCATCGTCACGTGCCACCCTGACGTTGCTAAGGAGATTCTCAACAGCTCCGTCTTCGCTGATCGCCCCGTCAAAGAATCTGCATACAGCCTCATGTTCAACAGAGCAATCGGGTTTGCCCCTTACGGTGTTTACTGGCGAACCCTCAGGCGAATCGCCGCCACTCACCTCTTCTGCCCAAGGCAAATCAAAGCCTCCGAGTTGCAGCGGTCTATAATCGCCGCCCAAATGGTTGACATGTTTAAAAACAACAGTCAACAGAGCTCACGTGTTCGGGAAGTGCTCAAGAAAGGGTCGCTGAATAACATGATGTGCTCGGTGTTTGGACAGCAGTATAAGCTGCACCAGTCAAACAGTGAAATAGAAGAGCTTAGAGGTTTAGTGGATGAAGGGTATGACTTGTTGGGTTTATTTAATTGGGGTGACCATCTTCCTTGGCTTGCGCATTTCGATGCTCAAAAAATCCGGTTCAGGTGCTCCAATCTCGTCCCCAAGGTGAACCGGTTCGTCACTAGAATAATTGCCCAACACCGAACCCATAAAACCCAAACCAACCAGGATTTCGTTGACGTCTTGCTCTCCCTCCAAGGACCCGATCAATTATCCGACTCCGATATGATCGCCGTACTTTGGGTAAATATAATTTATTTATTTATTTATTTTATTACTTGAATGAATTAACTCTTCTTTAATTGCATAAACATCCATTTGATTATTATGCAATGAGATTTATATGGAATTACAATATGAACGCTAGTGTTTATACGTATAAGATGAATACAAAATGTGTGTATTTTTTGCAAAATAATTTAGTGAAAATACAGACACCAAAATGTTTTGTCGTTTGCGCAGGAAATGATATTTAGGGGGACAGACACAGTGGCAGTTTTGATCGAGTGGATACTAGCGAGGATGGTGCTTCATCCTGATGTGCAGTCCAAGGTTCAAGCGGAGCTCGATGCGGTTGTTGGGAGGTCACGCGCCGTCGCGGAGGATGACGTGGCGGCGATGGTATACCTTCCGGCGGTGGTGAAGGAAGTGTTGAGGTTGCACCCTCCTGGCCCACTTCTGTCGTGGGCCCGCTTGTCCATCAGCGATACGACCATTGATGGGTATCACGTGCCTGCCGGGACCACTGCTATGGTGAACATGTGGGCTATTTGCAGGGACCCACATGTGTGGAGGGACCCGCTCGAATTTATGCCAGAGAGGTTCCTCGCTGCAGAAGGAGGAGATACCGAGTTCTCAGTTTTCGGGTCGGATCTCAGGCTGGCTCCGTTTGGGTCGGGTAGGAGGGTATGCCCCGGGAAGATGCTGGGGTTGGTTACAGTGAGCTTTTGGGTGGCGTCGCTTTTACACGAGTATGAATGGCTACCGTCTGATGAGAACGAAGTTGATCTATCAGAGGTCCTGAGGCTCTCTTGCGAAATGGCTAACCCTCTCACCGTTAAAGTGCGCCCTAGGCGTGGGTTATAATAGGGAACAAGAAAGAATGAGAGGTAGAAAATATAACAATAAAAAAGACAGAAAAAAAGTGAGTTGGTGATAGATATATAAAAAACCATGGTAGCCACAAAATGATGAACGAGGTTTTCTCTATCTCTATTATGGCTCTTCAGGTTTTCTCCTTTTTAATTTGATGGTTAAGTGTCAACGTGTCTTGTTCCCATTGTAATACTAGTTAAATTAATACAAGTTTTTAATTTACTTCAATATGTCATCCCGTGTTAATTAAAAAAAATATATATACCAATTAACTAACGGGATGATTTAATTTAACTGTGGAGGAACATGTGATGTGTGGATAAGTGCGGTCTGAATTGAATACAACCTAATCAAAATTAAAAATAAAAATAAATAACGTGCAACTAACATCCAAAAGCAGAAGAATCTAACATCCAAAAGCAGAAGAATTGGCACTCATCAGCATCGCAAGGGAAAAAATCTAATCCACGCACACCCTTTATTCATCCGAGACATATGCAACTCTCAATAAAATGCCTAGATGCTAAATCCTTTGGGGGCGTTTGGTTCAGGAAATTTTTTTGGAATAGTAGGGTAGGGAAATGAGATAGATAGAGAAATGATTGGAAAGATAGATAAAGTGAGATAGGTAGAAAAATGTAAAAAAAAGTTGTTTGGTGGGGAAAAACTTTACTGGGAAAATTAGGTAACTTTATGAAATCAACAGTGCATTAAAAGCCAGATAATCGATTTTTCAAATTGGGTTTCTAAACAGTGCGGATATCTATCTTTTTCATAAATCCAGACAAATTGGATAGATGGGTTTTTGGTGAAAAACTTTGAAACAAACATGGTATTTCTAAAAGTCATACTTGAGAAACATAGATATCATCTAAAAAAACTCCCAACCAAACACCACCTTGATGTCTATTTTAACAAATGGGAAAGGCTTAGAAACGACACCAACAAATGTTATCAGTTAGGAATCTGAGCCCTTCATTTGGCGAGCGCACACACGTATTTATTTAAGTATGTACAATGATATAAATCCAATTCCCTGAACGGGCCTCTATCTATTATGTAGGACCCGTCAAATTGGCACTATGCAGTCAGTCACAAACACAAACCTTGCTCTAATCTGCTCTTCACAAAGTACATGGTTCTCTTGGCTTTCTAGTTTATGGTCACTCTTGCACACAACCACATCTCCATTACAGTGGTGGGGGTTACACCAGTAGTTTTCTTGTCCTCCATCCACGTATGACGGTCTATATTAGAACCTCTTTCTTTTTCACAAATTGGACCACCCTGATCCGTGTGTAATTTTTTTTTTTTTTGTTAAAAAAATAGTAGAAAGGACAGATTAATCTACTACTTTTGATATGGGCATCGATGATATGGTTGGGAACAATTCCTTTAACCAATTGACCTAACTTGGGTTGATCGTATGTAAAATTTTCAAATGAGAGGTATTGTAGATTTGTATTGATTTCAAACTAATGTTTGTAATTGACAGGAGAGAGGTACAATCTTACACAAATTTAGCAGCTACAAAATGGAATGTTCTATTTATTACAATACTTCGGTTTTTTTTTTTGGACAATATGAAATCAATGTCATGTGAAGCGGGTTTGCTCCTATTTTAATGAAATTGGTTACTATCATAGTGGTATGATAGGTAAAAGAGTGTATAAATGATGACCACCAAGGACATTTCAGAAAGTTTTCTAGTCATTAGCTATAACCATCGGAAGTGAATTCCATTTCCATTATGTTGACCAAGGTCAACAATTATCATGGTCTTGGCAACCAAGACATTTTTCTTAGTCATCTGAATTAGGGGTAACTTTTTTTCTTTAAAAAAAAAATAGATTTGCTTCTAGATATTTGCATTTTGCAATTATTATAATATTTTTTTTCCTGTTAAACTACCATATATTCTCTTCTTTATGAAGCTAAATTTCACTTTTTTTTGTTTTTCTTTAGATCATCTGTTCTTTGACCTTTTTTCTTCTCTATAGTCGAGAGATTAGATACGAATGCGAAATCTCTTCAACTTTAATAAGAAACTTTTTCTGTTAGACAAAGTGACACACTCGGAACAAGACAGTTCCCTATCATATATGAACTCCATAGTTAATAGTTTATCAGAACAAGCACGTTTATGGTCTTAACTGGGTGGGCCCAATCATGGTGGCTTGCCTTGCTAAGAATCCAAGTCCATTAAATATCATGTTCTAATTTTTTCGGAAACAAAATGAATATTGCAATGGACAACTCCAATTCTATGGAGGACAAAGATAAAAGATATTGATGTTTTTGTTGTGTCTGGCAAAGTTTTTCTCTCCTGTTTTTTCCTTTTTTATTGATAAAAATATTCCCCATTTACTCTCTACAGTACACCATGAATAAGGAATGTAATGAATTTTGATGTTTAGTTGACAAGAATCTAACTTTTCTCATCAGCAGAATTGGGCTTAAAGAAGGCTTGATTGATTATAGACAGAAAAATACTTTTCACTACGATTTACTTTATACATACGGTTTGGGCTCTAGCCTCTAGCCTCTAGATAGTTATGTACTTGAAATAATATAGAAGCGCACACACATCGGAACTAAACACTTAACACCAAGCATAAATGTTTAATTATATTGATTGTCACATCATCTTTCGCTTAAACATTGATTAAAATTTTGCAAGTACTGATCAGAAGATGAAACGGATTGCGTTTAGCAAGCGTCATCGTCTAATTAACAGTTAATTATGTTTTAAGAATGTATTACCAACCGGCACTTTGTTTTCATAACTGTTTTTTTGCAAGAAATATAATCAAAATCGTCTTTGCCTTATTCAGAAGGCTGCTTTATAGCCTCTAAAAGCCCAAGTAAAATGCATCTGCTTTAAATGTATGAATAATATTATGTGCCAAACTAATATAAGATGTCCATCACTAATTGTTATCATTAATCATATCCAGTGTTGGCTAATCTTGGTTCACTTCTGGCTTTTTAAATTGAGTAATCGATGACATCAAACAAAGTTTAAACAGCTAGGCATTACGTGTACCGTGCTTAAATTGTTTTGCCCATTTGGCTCATGTTATTAAGACGGTTGAAAGTAACACATGGAGCCCATGACAATAACAGATAATTAGACCTTTCCTCGTAGTGAATTCGACAAAGACTTCCCAACAATTCATTATGATATATACATCAATTAAAAAGTTAGCCTCGTGTAAAGCCTTAACATGACCCTCGGTCTCCCTTAGTTTAGGCTTGGCCTATATATTTCACTAGACAGAGACACTGACCCAAAAGCGAATCCTAGCACTAGGAACAAAAGGGTGACTTCCCTTGTTTGGATAAGGAGAAAGAAAAGCAGTTTACAAAATTAACATGGTTTCCGACATGCCAATGTATTTCAAATCCATTTCAATCTGATTACTCGTCTGGAAATATACTTGGTGCTTGTATATACGAGTTGGTTTGCTAACTATACGTGTGTAGCTGTTCTGTTTCAATTTAAGGACTATAAGATTAAATTATATGTCAAAATAAAATAAAAAATTTGTGTCTAACTGAGGCCACGAAGAAGAGGATAATGATTCTTTCTTTGGAGTTGTGACATTTAAACGTTACGATTCTATATATATTTCATTGGGATCAACTATCGAAGTACAAACAAGTAGAGCCAAGTATGTTATGATCACAACGGAATTTATATACAAATCAGGAAGATGAACTAGTTTTAATTTAACAACAAAGTTGCCTACAGTTATACATTATTGATGTGATTTCCTGATAAAACTATGTATTTTGAAGGTTCACCAATAATTCAGGGTTTCGTTAGTGCTGAGTGTAGTTGTACATTTAATGGTTTGGGACTGAAATTGTGTTAGAAAAAACGCATTACAAAATGAACACAAGGATATTTACTCAGCCTAATCAGAAAGATTAATTATGGTCAAGATGGACCGTACTAATATTCCCTTACTGATTTGGACATAATCGTCCCATGCCGACTTTACTACTTTCCTATGTGTTTGTTCGGTGAACTTGAATATTCGCGGCATCTAATCTGATTAACCCTCCGACCAATTAATTTGGCATATCCCCAAAATCTAGCAGATTTGAGACACAATTAATGAAGATAATCAAACCAGTGAGTTCTTAGCAATATCACTTGGTGCAATAATTTGGGTTTGATTGACCCAAGATGATCTACTTTAGCCCAAAAGATTTTCTTTTACACGAAAGAGGAACTTAGCACAACTGTACCAATCAGAGAGACTATATTGTCTTTTCATCTTTAGAATTATATAGATAAGCAGAATTATTGGTATTTACTAAGAACTGAAAATAGGTGTGCCTTTGAACTAACTTTCCAAAGTATTTGCATTATTCTGGACTTAGCTGTATAAAATCGGGCAAGTGCAGCAATTCAAAATTAGGTTATATTCAATCAAGAAAAAAATCTTAGGTTACTCGTATCAGCAAATATGACATTTTAGGAGCCCGAAACCAAATACAGCAAGGCAAAAATACTCAAGTCTCAGGTTAGTGGATCGATTTGTGCTAAGTTGCACACCAAATGAATTATACTTAACAGCATGGCTTGTAGAGGAAAATTAGTATTTTATTGACAGTTCATGTTTTTCTATTACTTATAGGAATGCCTTTGCTTCTATCTCGGTCTCATTTCTTATGGACTATATCGTCTTCGTTGTCCTTGTGTATTTGGACAAAACTCAACGGACTAATCAAATAGGAATTATATGAAGTTATAAACCACTATTCATGCATACTTCTTGCAAACAATGAACGTTATTGATTGATATGTGTCCAGCATACGGTGTTTTCTAAGTTAAAAGAAGCAAGAAATTAATCATAAATGGTTGAAAATAGTTCATAAATGTTATAAATATTGATTATTCTTTTTCAATTATTCTCTCACTCAATTTATATATTTTGACAGCAAAAAACATAGAAAAGAAGCAAAAAGAGATAAGTCCACATTGCATGTCCCGCGCAAACTGCGCGGTGAATGGAGCGATCCGCGCCATAAGACTAGTTACTCTCTATTTCTCCGTGCGATTTGCGCCAAATTGGCGCGATTTGCGCGGGTGATATTAATTTTTTTTTATCTGATGCGAATTGTACTGAGAAAGGCCGAATTGAGGGTAATTTTGGAAGATGGTTTTCCTAAACCTAATAAGAAGATCAAAAACACATAGAGTAAGTGACTTTTTGGCGACAGAGAAAAGAAAGATAACAGAGAATAGAGAATTCTTGAGAGCTTCTTGGAGTTTTTGAAGAATCGGGCGATCAAGACTGAGGATCATCACCTTATTCTTTTTCATTAGGTTCTGAGTTTTATTTTCATTTACATTTAATTTGTCATACATGAATATGTCTGGCTAGTCTTCTATTATTGTGGTAAGGGTCACAACTCTTAATGTGAACCCCTTGTAGTTTGGTTAACTTTACATTTGTTTATTCCAATTGAGTTTATTTTCCTTTGTTCTTCATCTCATAATTCTTCTAGAACCGATTACTCTATTGGGATTGCGAGGGTTAGGGTTTTCAATAGGGATATTGAAATTCTAATTCTTGACAAAAGGCAAAATAACTATTCATGTATGCACTAGGGATAGGGTACATGAACCGCAAACATTAAGGATTCACTGGTTCAAAGGCTTAACTTGAAAAGGAATTTCTAAGGGATTAGGATTCTAATAGGGTTAATAAAGTTAAAGTTACTAAAGAATTAGAGCTTAACTAATCATTTAAAATATGGTGAATCGTTTGATCAATGGTTAAATTAAACGTAAACGTTAATTCAGGTTACAAGGTGGGGATCATAAAGGTGTTTGCGTCTCTTCACCGCAATATTTTCTCAACCATTAATCTTTTGTTCTTGAGTTTAAAAAAGAATTTTGGAAACTATTTATGCTTTCTAGATTGTTCGTGTTTTCCACAAATCACATTTGTTCTTTAAATCAATTTATTTAATCCGACAAGAAAGGAATAGTTATAATAAATTTGGTGCCTCAATCCTCGTGAAAACGATACTCTACTTATCATTTTATTACTTGAAATGATCGGTACACTTGCCGATTTCGCAACATTGATAATAATAATAAAAAAAAACACTAATGTATTAGGTCAAATATAAGGTTGACATACATTTGTGATTTATTTGTTGCTTCAATGATTTGAAATATTTGTTACTCTACTCATTTTCCAGGGAGTGGTCTTACAAATTTGCTTATGAAATGGATTAAAAATTGAATAAATAAATCAAACTCGGATGTGGTTCAAACGAAAGGAATAAATAAACCGTTTAATTTGTCATTATAAATGTACTAATATTATATTAGCACTTTATTGAATGAATTTAACTATATTAAAAATGGGTCAAGTTATATTTACAAAAAATTTGTTTACAAACTCACTTATGTATTCCGGAAGTGCAAACACTTAAATGTGTATTCCCTAAAGTACTGAGTTTGTAAACAAAAATTTGTAAATATAACACTTTCTTTTAATAATTGTATAATTTATCAAATTTATTGAAAAAATGTGGTAATACACAGTTAAATCTACTTGTAAAAGTTTTTTCATCAACGTAAAAGCATGAAAAAATGTTACCCGAAACCTATAAAACAGATGATGGCAACAGTAAACACATGATTCTTTATCCTATCAAATTTTTTTATACTCCATATAAAAAAATGTAGCTTTAAACTTTACAAATAAAAGATGCTTAATGACCAAAAAATTAAGGTGAGGTTGTGTTGCAATTGCCTTCGACCGACAAAGATTTCATGCGTATAAAGTGGAGATTATAACGCGACAACAAATATTCAATTAAATAGAAAACAAAACAAAGGGGACAAATTGGTTTGTAGGTTGTGAGTTGCAACTGTTTGTCAACTCATTTATTTGGGCCAACCAGAATTTACATCTACTTAATAATGCCCCCTATATCTCACAAAGAAAGAGAGGTACAACTAGGTTAGCACCTAAAAATGGTAGAGCGGGGGGACCCAATCTTAAAATAAGCTTTGACGATTCTAGCCTCTATCTCAAGCTGGGGACCAAACCACTTTGATTACTTTCAGAAACTTGGGATAAGAATTATACAGTTAAGGAACTTATAAATGGCACTTGAAAAGTAAAAAAACATAATTTTCACTAGTGTGGTTTTATATGGACAGGTCGAGAAAGAAATTTTCCTAGATTTTCAATCATCAAAACCATTCGTTCTTGGGTGGAAGAGCTTCTACGGTTACTGGCTTCTCGCAAGGTGAAGAGTCCTTGGTTTCCGATTGATTAGGCTTACTTGCAACGGTTATATTTATGGTATTGGGTGTGACAGCTGACAGGCATCGATGTGTTCATCAAAAGCAAGTTATCTAGCGTCTAACATAATGCATATAGAAGTAACGGAAAAAAACCATTTCGCCCCAAAAAAATACGGGTTTTTGACCGAAAAAAAAACAAATTTCAAAAAAATCTACGTGTTTAGTTCGTTGACCAAACGTTTTACCAGACTAATGCAAGAAGACACGTTTCAGGTGGTTACACGTTTAGTCGCGCAACTGACACATGCGCGTTTCTGACAAATCTGAACACGTCTGTACCAAATACGTGTCTGAACACGTTTGTACCAGGTGCGTGTTTCTGACAAGTCTGACGAGCACAATACCAAGATAGGTCATATTCAGGCATGCATGTCGCGTTAAAGTCAGAAACGCACACCTGATACATACGTGTTCAGATTTGTCAGAAACGTGCATGTGTCAGGTGCGTGACTAAATGCGTAACCACCTGAAACGCGTCTTCCTGCATTAGTCCGGTAGAACATTCGGTCAACGGACTAAACGGGTGAATTTTTTTAAAATTTGCTTTTTTTTTTGTCAAAACCCCCAAAAAAATACATATATTCATGGCACAGGCTTAGAGCCCCATATAATAACGCAAACAAGAAAGATACACAGTACTGGGTGTTTATGACTTTGATTACCCGCGCCATTAATAGAGCTACTAAGTTATATTTAAATATTTAATGATAGATGAAAAAAAAATTATCATATCATTATTTAAGTATTTTATAAAATATTATAATTGTATTTTAAAAAGTAATTGAAATAGTAAATAATACCTTAATTTTATTTCGCATTCTCGAAGAAAAAGTATTAGATAAAATAAAATAATACCATTCCATTTGGTTTTTCTTTATTCCATCCATTTTCCTCAATAGCCAAATATATTGGCTAAACCTGTTGACGCCACCATTGACAATATAGCATAATCTGTATATCAATCACTAGATTTAGAGCCAGTTTATTCGTGTTTTCTTTTCCTTTTTCCCCCCAATAAAAACAGAAGTTTAAAATAAAAGATATTAAATCAGTTGAGTCTAAATGAACACAGCCAGGATGACTGAGCAGTACATCAAGAGCCCTGCATCTTGTTGGGTGGCCTAACGAATTCAAATGGCACGCAAGACAATACTGCCTCAGCACGAAGTCTAATAAATAAATAACACTTAGACACTGCATTGATATAATTATAGGTTATGAATGACAAACCTAATGAAACTAAAGCTCTAGCCCAAGTTCAGGTTTCATGAGTCGCTGACTTGCTTCTTTTGTTTTTTATAGTACTGCAGAGCAAATGCAAAGCCCAACATCAGCAATGGCAAAAAGAACTGCAGGATCTTTACAACAAATCCAGAAGATTGATTGCTATCGGCATGTGCTTGTGTAGGTGGTCGTGGCTGACTCTGGTTAACTTTGGCTGGAAGAGTGGTGTCGTCAACCTCCCCAACATAGTATTTTTGCATCAATTCTTTTGCAGAGTCACTGTGACCCACATCTTCAAAATCAATGGTGGCATCCTTCTCTGTAAAAAGACAACATTAAGATTCTTAGTCCACCCCTCTGGTCACGCCAGTTGAGAGAGTTTTTTCTTACTTGCAGATTACTGATATTAACCACAACCAGCTAGGAGGAATAGATTACCTGCTGCCGACAGCAAAGATTCATCACCTCCTGGATGATCATCCAAAAATGGGGTGACATCATATACCTGCTACAATGGAATGCGTATTAAGTATAATAATTTGACGCATATACTATTTGTAAATGTATAAAAAAATATTTGGATAGAATGGTGGAACTTAGGTTTGAATCTCTATTATCTCATACAGACTCCTGAAACCCCCTTGCCACTAGACCAATCCTAGTGGCTTAAATGTATAAAATTTAGATGCCTATTTTAGAGGGGAAATAGGATGTGTAGAGTGGCTAAAATTCAATTTGAAGCTTTAGCATATATTTGACATCTAGAATCGAAGGATACGTATCTCATTCCATTTTATTAGTTTCTGTCTTATAGCCCTATTCTTGAGTGCAAAGCACTGAAACATGACACTTTTTACATACTGCATTTTAATAATATCATAGACTTAATCTATCCAGTTGTCTGATAGGGAGTTAAAGAAGTAATAATATAATACCGGCACAATTTTATTGGCCAATTGACAATCAGAAATTTCTTTCTCAAATGCGCTTTATGGTGGGGTGGCTTTTGTACAACCTTATATGCTTAACAACATTGTGTTATGATAAGGAGATCAAGGAGGGAAAAACAGAGCTTAGTAGGCTGTTAGGAGGTTACACATTCTGCAACTGCATTAAGGGTAGTCAGTGTTATTTAGGTGTGGCAGAACTGTTAGTGTTTAGTTAGAATAGTTACTTCATCATAATCTTAAAGTGTTCTAGAAAGTCTATAAATAGATGTGTCAAGATAATTCTGATATCAATGAATGATTTGAAATCTTGAGTTCAGTTTCTTTTTCGTTCTTGTTTTCTCTCTCAAATAGGATCTCGTATCCTATTATTGGTGCTTTCATGATGAACACTGTTGCTATCATACAAATGCAGCAGTTCTCCAAAGATGATAGCGCTTTGCAGAAAATTGCCAAAGACCTTGCTTCTTTAACGTTGAAGATGGAGCAGGGGTTCAATGAAAACCAGAAACAGTTTGCTTGGCTTATTGCTCAGCTGCAAAATATTAATAACTGTTTGCTTGCTATGAGACCAATGATCATCTAACCACTTACTCAACCATCTTCTTAAGAACCAGTTTCAGTGCAAGTCTATGAGCAAAGTGATTCAGCAGGTCCGCATCCCCCGTCTCATCAGCTCTCTCACCAATTAAATTTACATGTCATTCAAGAAAATCATGAGAGGATTGCAACAGTTGATCCGCGTTCTCTGTTGCCGTCCATTCCAATAGAAATTGGTGCATCAACTCAGTCACTTTTTGGTTCAAGAGGTATCCTTGTTTTTGGTGCTATGAGCACCTCTGTTTTAAGTTCCACGAAGAGTGTATTTGATGAAAAGAGCAGTTTTGGATCAATGCTGAATGCATTTAAGGTGCAAAGCACTATAATTTTTGGAGGTGAAAAAGCAATGGGGTCCCATGCTTTTGGTGCTTCCCTTATCCCAGCTTTTGGTCAATATAATTTTGCATTTTGTAGCAACAAAACAAGTGGGGGCACAACCTTGCCCTTTGAAATTCAGACTTCTAAATTGGGTACCCAGAATTTTCAACCAACTTTTGGATATTTTGACATCAATCAGTCAAGTTTTGGAAAAGACGCTCACTATGCTGCTTCACAATTTATGTGGCATCCACGAGGATCTTCAGCTCTTCCTCTGGACCTTGAGGACAAGGTCCTTTGTGAAGGAGAAGGGAATGTTATGATAAGGAGATCAAGGAGGGAAAAACAGGGCTTAGTAGGCTGTTAGGAGGTTACACATTCTGCAACTGCATTAAGGGTAGTTAGTGTTAGTTAGGTGTGGCAGAACTGTTAGTGTTTAGTTAGAATTGTTACTTCATCATAATCTTCAAGTGTTCTAGAAAGTCTATAAATAGGTGTGTCCATATAATTCTGATATCAATGAATCATATAAAATCTTGAGTTCAGTTTCTTTTTCGTTCTTGTTTTGACTCTGATACAGACCAACCAGCAGTTACACTAAACAAAATGGAAATAGGAACTGAAATACAAATCTATATGTATATAACTTGGTCTGAACCCGTATTACAGCAGTATTAATCTCAGGATTAATAACAGAGACAAATGCAATGGCAGATTACAGAGTTGTGCAGCTCAAACTACTCATTACATAGCCAACAGAAATACATTACTGGAAAGGAAATACAATGCATAAAGTAAGAGATAGTGTGAAGCAATTGGAGAGGCTCCACTCTCTCCCAATCCCCAAGGGGCCCAAGTAATTCCACTAAGATTCTAGATACCTCCTACAAGCACCCCTTCCTCTATATTTACCAATTCCTTCGTAACTAACTTGCTCTCCCGTGCTTCCATTCTGTTTTGCTGAGTCAGCTATATTGCTTTCCCTAAATTGCCCTTGGGGGTGGTATCGTATCAATACTCCACCCCTTTTAAGCACCTTGTCCTCAAGGTGCAGTTCAACCCATAAAAACCCTCCTCCTGGATCCCACTGTTTGAATTGTGGGACCTTACATATGCACCAAGCTTGGCAATTTCCACCGGGATCCCATGCTTGTTCTTCAATCCTATCCCATTCGTTTGTAACTTCTGCAAGATGATGCTTAGCAACTCTTAAATATTCTTTCATGCTCTCCCATCTTTGTAGCATTTCCCCATTTTTTTTCTCCTCAAGCCAACCTTCCAACCACTGATCAACATTCATTTTCAAATCTTGAACATGCTTCTCATATACTTCCAAATTAGTATGCTTAAAACTATTAGAAATATCCTTATTTAAACAACCAACAGCAACAGATCGTGTTTTGCAATAGCATGGCAACATCACATAATTTGTGTGTGTATGGAAACTTGTACATGGCATTTTAAAAAATACTGCAGTTTTGCTTCTTCCAAATTGTATATCGTCTCTAAACTCAATCGATTTCGTAAATGCCTTAGAAGTGTACCCATAGTTGAAAATCATTGCCTCACCTTCGTGGTCTCCATATTCTTGAGTACCCATAGTTGTACGACCAAAGAAGTCCTTTGACAGGTAGCAATTGATGGGTATTAGGTGTTGGGCCTGACCTCTTGAGTTATTAAAAGAAGAGCCCAGCCTTTGCAATTTTTCATTTTCTTTCATCTCAAACACCCATTTTTGTTTCTTCCTTATTTGGGTTTGGCCCTCTAGGTCAAAAAATTGACCCAAGGTATGGAATTTCCTCATTAAGCTGGCTCCTTCCTCCTTGTAGCCGCTACTTTTGATTTGAGGTGGTGCAACATTTTTTTCCACCTGCATCTCAATCACAGGGATGCCATCAGCTGCCATGCAAGCGTATGGGTTCGATGGTCCTAATGATGGAGGCTCAGTCGGTCTCTTCATGGCCATTACAAGCTTTTCTTCTCTCATTCTTTTCTTCTGCTCCTCCACCACATGACATGGTGAAAGGTTGCCATCTATCATCACCCTCTCCATTTGGATTTTCATTTTCTTCTTGGCTTCCATCTCCTTAACGCCAATCATTTCTGTTCTGTTTTGTACTTCCAAAAAGTCTTCAATCATACGTACTCCTCCTATGACAGCTTCCTTTTGAGTTTCCTCACTCTTTTCCATGATCTCCCATTTCCCTAACATAGATTTACTATGCGACTTCTTTTCAACCTCTGTTTCTACTTCTTCTTTCCTCTCCTGATCTTTACCTCCGTTCACCGTTGCGCTAGTCACTTGTTCTCCTCCTTCTTCTTCGTCTTCGTCTTTAACTATTAACACTTGTAGACGATCTCGGAGCTCCGCCTGTGAGAGCCGTCGAGTGTTGTGCACTTGGCTATCTGATGTGTGACCACCGTCGTAGGCTTGATTAACGGTGTTTACGGTTACCTTCGCCGCTGCCGCCTTTGAATTATCTTTATTTGCAACCCTAACGTTATAGGAACTAGCATTTTTAGTATTAAGTGAATTGGGCTGCGTATATGTCGTTGGGTTGAAAGAGCCCAAAACAGAAAACCCCCAAATTTTACTCTCATATGGGCTGTTGCTACTATGTTGGGCCTGAACCCCTCTGTTGAGCCCACTCGTTCCATCCTTCCCTACTGCACTCAGCCCTTCCTCCATCCACACGCTCCTCTTCTCTATCTTCAAGGAGAATTTGATCATCTCCGACAAACTGATGGCAGGGTACATCATCAACTCTTCGCGGATGCTACTCTTAACGCCTTTGAGCCAAGCCCTTTTAAGTAGCTCCTCATCCTCAAATCGCAGATCTCCGATCACCTTCTCGAACTCACGTTTGAACTCAGCCATCGTTCCGCTCTGTTTAAGCGAGTATAACACTTTATAAGGATCGTCTAATGCCTCTTGTTGAGATCCACTCTGAATTTCCTCCCTGTCCACCTTGTGTTTCTCCACCACAAGCTCCCTCTGCATTTCCATTTCTGGACTAGAACGTAGCCGCTTTGTTTCCTTGGTTCCGCCTCGTTTTCTGTCCGGTTGTCTTCTGTGTGAGTGATGCTTGGTCTTCTGAAGAAGTTCATCAAGAAGCTTAAGTATCTTCTTATGGTTTTCCTCCACTTGACTCTCCCTTTTCTTCCATTCTTGAAATCTATATTCCAGTTGCAACTCGCTCTTCCTCCAATTTTCAGATCTGTTTTCCATTTTATTTTTTTTATTTTTATCAGCGTGGTTCAAAGCTACCGGATCGGATAGCTCTGATACCAATTTGATACAGACCAACCAGCAATTACACTAAACAAAATGGAAATAGGAACTGAAATACAAATCTATATGTATATAACTTGGTCTGAACCCGTATTACAGCAGTATTAATCTCAGGATTAATAACAGAGACAAATGCAATGGCAGATTACAGAGTTGTGCAGCTCAAACTACTCATTACATAGCCAACAGAAATACATTACTGGAAAGGAAATACAATGCATAAAGTAAGAGATAGTGTGAAGCAATTGGAGAGGCTCCACTCTCTCCCAATCCCCAAGGGGCCCAAGTAATTCCACTAAGATTCTAGATACCTCCTACAAGCACCCCTTCCTCTATATTTACCAATTCCTTCGTAACTAACTTGCTCTCCCGTGCTTCCATTCTGTTTTGCTGAGTCAGCTATATTGCTTTCCCTAAATTGCCCTTGGGGGTGGTATCGTATACGTTTAGTGTAATTGCTGTTTTGTTTTGTTTAGTGTAATTGCTGGTTGGTCTGTATCAGACTCTCAAATAGGTATCTTATCACATTGGCACCCCCCTAAAGTTGCCTAGATTAACCATTGATGAAAATTCTATTTCTCTCTAGAAAACAGATGGTCTATGTAAAAAGCATTGAAACAATGATACAGCTGCCGTTCACATGAATGTTTCAGATTATGATGATACCAGGGAGGAAATATTTTACTTTGCTGGTAATTGGGAAAGGAAGAACCAGTACCATCCTGAATAGTTCCAGGTGGTGGTGTGGCAGAGTCTTCAATATAATTTAAGACATCTTAGGCTTTAAGGACAGGAATAAAAAAGGATGATCTCTGGAGAAGATAGTATTTAAATCAAGAGTTTCAGCTACATAGTTTTGATGTTAGAAACAGCAAGAGAAGGAAACAACCCAGAACAAAACTGATCGTAACAAATAATATCTGAATCGTATTTTTAAAATATTTCATTATATTCTATCACATAAGGGGGTGAGTTAGTCTCTGATGAATGAGAAGATTATTCGGATTCCAACAATATTGTTTAACCAGGGATACTGAGTATGTTGCTATTTAAAAGGTTGTCAGCTGTCAGAGAGATTCTTATAGAAAAAGATAATAAGGGTAGCACACTTTTCGTTAAATATGTTTAAATCCGAAATTGATGTTGATGAAAAATCTATAATGGATTTATGCACACTTGTTCTTACATATAATAAAAATTGATAAGCTTAATATACTCTATTGGAGATTTAACAAGTGGCTTCTGGACAGAAGTATTTCCTTGAGGGTTTATACATATGTTTCTTAAATATATACGATCCCAAATCAGGCCCCTTTAAGTCCATGACCGGGGAAAATTTGGAATAACTTCTCAGCCCCAACCACATGCAATTGAATAAGCATTTAGCACACACAGAAAGTAAAACAGATCAACTAAGGAAAAAAGATAAAGAAGCAACTGAAGAAAGACCATAAGAGAGAGAGAGAGAGAGTAAAAAACAGACCTTTCCATGGACAATAATCCAGCAATCCTTTTTGTGGTTGTGCTTAGCCACCTCCTCAAAAGTAAAAGTTTTGGAATTTGAAACCATTGCTGACTCTGCCACACAGAATCAGGCACACCCAGAGTCAGATTATTCAGAAGAGAGAGAGACAGAAGAAAGCTCAATACCGAGATTAGTGCTGAGCACTGGGAAAAAGGAAAAAAGCAAACAACTTGATGGGAAAAATTGAAGAAAAAATCTTACACTGGAGATGGGCTTTTCCCTGTGATGTTGTTTCTCTTTTTCTTTCTCGTAGGCACAAACTTTTGCTCTTCAACCTCCAACTACGATCCCCACTAATTGGTAATTATTTATACATCGGATCCCAACTACGTGTCTCTTTCGGCCTCTGAACATAGTCGTAATTACGAGAAAACTTTCGGTGGAACAGCTGTACGTACACCCACGTTAAAACGAGAAATTTTTTTGGACTGAAATTATAAAAAAAGAATATAGGTAAAAATAGAAGAAAAAAAATTCCCATTTTAATAAAAACAATATTCGGCACTAAATTTTTTCCCCATAAGTCGTAAGTCCTAACGCTTGTACCATTAAATATTACACTTACTATGTACCAATATATATATATATATATATATATATATATATATATATATACTAAAAAATTAGAGTCGTTAGATATAAGTGGAATTAATGGACAAGATTGAGAATGTAACTTACACTGGTATAAAATGATCTTGACCCTATATATATATATATATATATATATATATATTAAAAATAATTTGTCCTTTTAAATAACTTAAATTATATTTTTTTATCCTTTTATAACGGTATATTTCTGGAAATATATTATTATAATATTAAAATTATTTTTTTTTCTTTCTGTAGAAACTGTCGACTAACGTAGAAAGTGAAAAAAATACAACTTTAATATTATAAGTTTATAACTATGTATTTTTTGAAATAAATAATTACAAAGGAGTGAAAGAACATAATTAAGTCATTTAAAAGGACAAAATATTTATATATATATATATGGGGGCAGGTTATATTTACAAACTTTTTTATTTACAAACTATACTATATAGGACCGGTCCTACATTAATTACACAGTATAGACCCGATGATAACATTAGGCCGTTATTTTAACGTCTGTTTCGTGTAGTGGATGTTTTGAATATTAAGAAGAAGTGTTTTGTGTAGTGGATGTTTTGAATATTAGAGTAGGAAGCCTATATTTAATTGGCGAATTTGAGATTCAACCAAAATATTTACAGCTTGTGGCAAGTATATATTTATTATTATTAGTATCATTACAAAGCAAAAGAAAATTATTTAGACCACAATCCTGAAAGCTGTCTCAAGGGATAATATAAGTCGCACTACAGATAAATAGTCAAAATAATAGGGGTTGAATTCTTCAGGAAATTGGTCAAACTGAATAATTATGACTTTCGATTTGAGATTTTATTATTTTTTGTAAGCAATTTTTGAGATTAATTTCGTACATTTGTAAGCCTCTTATACTATTTGAATTATAGGGATACCAGATGACTCGATGATAACTCTATTTTATAGGATTATCTTACACTTGTTTTAACATATATTACTTGTTTACCTAATTATTTCGAATAATAAATGACTTATTTTTCACATAAATTGATAGAGTACGATGAGATGGACTTATTATATTATTTGTGATTTTTTTAGGAGAAAATTCATAAGATTTATACATAAATCATCTTTCAAGCAATCCTCGTATCATAAGTGATGGATTTAGATCTCAAATTATTCATGGAAGTTAATAAGACTACGGTCACATCAACAAAATAACTATAGTCCAAATTATACCCAAAATATGAAGATATATGTAGTTTCAGCTTGTCCCAATGCCTGAGCGCTCACTACCCAACACCTAGGCGCTTCGATTGCAAAATAAAGCCTAGCGTTGAGGCACCAAGTATCTAGCGCAAGTGCCCAACATCGAAAAAAGTATTTGTGTCTTAGGTTTCCTAGCGCTTGAGTACCCATTAACTGCGCCTATATGTGCACAACGTAAAAAAAAAAAAAAAAAACAACTTGTCTCAAGTATTCTAGTGCCCAGGCACCCAATAACTAGTGCCTAAGCGCTGACGCATTATAAAAATGAAGGTGCATGATTTTAAGGGCAATCTTTTGCATACTGAGTGATGACGAAAAAGGATTATTGAGAGAAGAATTGCTCCAGAGGTCAAAGAAAGAGGGAGACAACATTGAATCATCATTCAATTCTTATCTCTTCAATCATCATTCATCCAAGAAGGGGAGAAGATGCACTATCGAGAATGAGTGTAAGCCATTTGACCAAGAAAAAAGGAATTTTCTTTCTATATTTCTTTCTTTAATCTTGCTTCATTGATTTGCATCCCAATTTTATTTTGTTGTTTCTTTTCAACTATGAACTAAATCTTCTATGGGTAAAGGATTTCTTCAGTCAATGAAGATAAATTATCTCCAGTGAGTCCAAAACGACGTCGTTTTGGGTGAAAATCAAAGTATCTTTGTAATTATAATATATTGCAGGGTTATATTAATTTTTATCATTATAATTTTTTAATCTTATAACCCAAAACGACGTCGTTTTGAGCTCATTGGAGATAACTTTATATCCAGTGACTGGAGAAATACTTTTCCCATCTTTTATTCTAGGTTTCAAAGTATCTGAGTCATGTATAATGCTTAGATCTATTTTATTCCAGATTATTTTATGGATTTGATCATTTATTTCAATCTTCTTTTTAATGCTTTTTCATAATTGATTATTATTGTATATTTATTCATTAGATGGTAAATCACATAATTCTCAAAAGCAGTTGAATGTGAGATCCTTATGAATTTGAAAGAAGGATTAAGATTAGTCATATGTTGAAATAATATAGTGAGGTGGATCAGAGATGTGTCCGCACACTATATAACCTTAAATAAACTCTTGCTTCTTGCATTTGTTTAGAGAGCCTTAATTAGAGATATGATAGGACACTTAAACAAATAGACTTAATTGACATAGACATATGCTTTTAAGTACCTTAGAGTCTAGGTTAATGATGAAATCAAAGGAGTTATAATTTACACACTACATGAGTAATTTATAGTTCTTAAATTAATCTTAATAAGGGGAATATAAAGGGTTTGAGAGTTTGGAGGGGAAGGAAAGGAAGGGGATCCAAGGAGGAGGGAGGGAAAAGAAGGGAAGAAAAACAAAGGGTATTACTTTCTCCTTGTTTAAGAGTTAAAAATATAACAAAGGAAAAAGAAAATAGAGAGTTAATAAGATATTTTTTATAATTTTATATTTTCTTAAAAAACTAATATAATTATTATCTTTTATGAATTAAATTAAATTTAAAATTTTTTAAAAAAATTATTTATGTAATTTTCACATTCAGAAAATGATTCTTCCTCTAAAAAATTATTTTGTCTCTCTAAAAATTATTATTTCTCTCTAAAACTGTCTATTTCACATTATAACTAAATTAAAATTACTAGTAAGCGCACGTAAGCAATTTATTTTATTTTCCTTCTCAAATCCTCCAGATTTGGAGAATTTTGATTTTAAGAATGAGAAAAGTATTCGAAGATTTTGTAAAAATCCCCTATTTTCTTCTTTTATTTTATTTTTTTGGAAACTGATCCTAATTACCTCTTTGAGGCGAATTAGAATCTTCCGGTATTCCTACGGGTTCGACTCTTTTGAGGCGCCTATGGGACTAATCCAGAGTCAGGTGCGAGTCCAAGAATTACGGTACTTATGCCCCTTCCCAGATGATGTTGGTGGGATTCGAACCAAGATCCTCTCCCACCACTCAGTCCCTATACTAACAACTGAGCCACCACACTTGGGTCTTCCTTTATTTTTTAAAACTCACATATAACCTTCCTCTTTCTTCCATTTTTCTCTTAATATTGACTCCCAAATTCACCGTCAGGGGAGCATGCTACGTGAAATTGAAATCTCAGGCTTAAATTTATGATAGTAATTCTAATAGCACTTGTCTTTTATTTACTCGTATTTTTCATTTAATTTATTATTCCTTTAATTCGTATAAATAAATTCACAACCATATAATTCGAGGGTTTTTTTTTTTTTTTTTTTTTTATATATCAGAAAGACACAAAGCCCCAAGAGAAAACAAAATAATGAGACAAACAAAAGACTAGATACTCAAACTAGCCAACGTGAACAACAATGCATTGGGTTGTTTCCTAGAGATCTAAATTAAATAAGGGTATCAGGTCTGCAACATAATCTGGTAGTATTGGAGACCGAAAATACAATATATGGAGGACTTGACTAGCTAGTTAATTAGCGCAACCATTTGCTTTATATTACTTGTTTTGATTCATACACTTACGGTATAGAACTACATCTAGAAATTACTCGCCCCGTGGCTCGTCCTAAAAAAGTAATTAAGGTCATCAAATTTTTTTAAAAATAAAATATTCAGACCAGAGAATTAATGTTACGTAAAAACAACACACGTGCAACATCATTCTCAAATTACTCCCACAATCAATAGGGGATGCTCCAGAAAACGTAAGCCAATGAATAGGGTGAGAATGAGCTGACTTGGCTTCAACCTCATTTATTTCATGCAAAGCACGTGTAAAACACTCTTACCAGTTCCCACCCCCTCTTTCCGTAGGAGTTCAATGAACTTAGGTAGAGGTGTGCATACGGGATAAGAGTCCGCACACGCCTCTCCGGCGAGCCGTGAAAGAATCAGATTCCTTTTCAACCTTACAGATTTCATGTTCATGCTTATATATTTATAAGTTTAAAAGATATCATTAGCGTCAAATAAAATAAAATAAAAACTACTATAGTACTTAATTATTTTTTTTAAAAAGTCTTCTCGTATATATTAAAATTTTACATGATTTTATAGCACAAAAAATTTATATTTATATTCCTTTTATAGGCATTACGTACATTAGTCTCCTATCAACTGTCACTTGATTATAAAATAAGAGTACCGTTAATTATTTTCCCATGCAGATAAAATTTTCAACCACAAAATTTGGCCAAATTCACTTAATTAATTATTTTTAAATTTTAAACAAAAACTGCATTTATGAGTTTAGGCCCATGTTCTCAATAATTAGGCCATGACGTACCCAACTCATTGATTGACCCAAATATGAAGCTAATGCAGCGCTTAGATCTAAAACCAAAAACCTAAAGCCCTCATGGCTCTTGGTTTAGAGTTTATTAGACCCACTAATATAGATGACATATTTTTATTCTATTTTGGTTGTTATATATGTTAATGAGAAGA